TTCTAGGCCCGCAAGCTGAGTTCGCAACAGTACTTTGCCCTTTCAGCGCCTCTACATAGGACCTCCCAGGCAAGACATATGAATGGCTATGAAACCGGGGTAGAGTAGAACAAGGACTGAAAGCACACAGAGCATTGCTTAGAATAACCCACCCGAAGAATCAACTGGAATGATGATGAAGAAGGATCTCCCGTAAGCAGTTGACTCCGACAGTTTAAGCCCTTTACCAAACCGGTTTCGGAGGAAAGATATGGAGATCTCTCTGTCCCTGCTAGCCATCTTCCAACACCTTGACGTGTCTCGGGCCTTATTAGCACCGCTTCGAAGAAACTTTCCAAGCCATTCAACATGATCTCTGTCCAGGATAATGAAATGTCTTCTAAAATCGTTACTTCCCACAGTCAGCTTAATGACATTACACTTCCGAGAAGGAACGGACGACACAACCACTGTCTTGAGACCGACCTGCACCTCCTGACGATGACCCTCTGGAGAAGAAGTGTCGCTGCCTTGGAACCTACCTGTCGAGAACCTGCAATCAGAAAAGGACACAGAAGAACTCTCCCCAACCCTGGCGTTTCCTCTCTTCAAAGAAATTCTCTCTCTCTCTCTCTCTTTTTCTCTCTCTCTCTCTCTCATCTCTCTCCGTAACCTCCCTTGATGAACTTGAGTTTATCAAAATCTAATCCACTCCTTCTAAGTTGGAATTCCCATCCCCCAAGCTCATTTTTGGTTCATTTGATCCCACATAACCATGATATTATACCTCTAACTAAAATAAATCAAAGCATTTTATGAAAAGAACCGAACCATGAACTTTACCTACTACCAAATCCAAACACAATTTCTTCCTCTCACCACTTCCCTTCCAAAACCCAATATCAACTTTTACTCCAAGTTCACACCCCCAACTCCCAGTGTGTTGCGTGAAAGCTTAATTTTAGCAATCATTATGCTTGCAATTAGATTAATGGACACCAGCAAGCACCAAAATTCTACCAGACGATGAGTTGTCTTCACTTTGAGCTTTGTCATAAAACTGTTGGCCAGATATGTTTATCAGTTTGGAGGCCATATGATGAGCAATACCGAATTAGTTGCAGCGAAGTTACCGGTCACAGTAATGACAATGTGAAACATGTGTTAACAAACGCAAATATGGGTTACTTTTATGGATTGACATTAGAATGATGGGATTGGACAATGAGTCCTTAGTTAAGCGACATGTAAAATGGTTCATTTGGTATGGAGGACACAAACCATTAAAAATCTAAATTATTTGGGGAGTTTGTATTTAGGGGTCGTTTGGATGTGGAAATTTGACAACGTAGGAATTTGTCTGAATTGCCATGTTTTACAAAACCAAAGAATTGACTTGTGGAAATTCAAGAAAATTCCACGTTTGGATAGGGTTAGTTTTGTGGGAATTGATGGTGTGGAATTTGGTAAAAATACAAAAATGCAATCTTTTGTTTATATCCATACCCCTCCTAAAGGTTGTTGTTGTGTTCTAGTAACTATTAATTGCTGCTAACTTAAGCATAGTTAGTAAAATATGGTACGGAAAAGTTACGTATAAAATACGTACGGGTATTTTACTTCCTCTCTAAAGTAATGTTACGTTTAATAGTACGTTAATAGCCATAAATATATAAACTTAATTATTTACATAATAAATACATATATAAATAATAGTAAATTTAATATTTTAATTAATTAAATAAAAATATTAAAAATGTTATACGGGTTTTATACGTGTTTAGGTGAATTTGATGAGGAGAAGCAGGAAAATCGACGGTGAATGAGATAAGTAACCCATAAACTCAAAATGTACTTTTTGATTCTTGGTGAAGAATTGTGTGATTAGAGGAACTCTCTTAGTTGATTCATAAAGTTAGGTATATCATGATGATTCACTTTGTAAATAATTACAGTTATTAATTAATTCGATGATTGATTGTTGCGGTTGATAGTCCTATGATTTTGAGATATTTCAGTATTTTCTCTCTTTAATTCAATAAATAAATAAATATTGTTGTATTCCAGCTGGTTAGGGATATTGACTATCAATCTGAAGGACTCGATTTTAAGTCTTTGTAATGACATTTGTTTCTCTCGTAAGAAGATATTTAAGTTCTAAGTTGAACTTACAAATTTACCCCTAACTACAGTTAAGGAGAGGGCAAGGAATTTGAAATGCTCAAAATCTTCTTAAGTAGTGCTATATATTATAGAGAGATTTTTATTATTATAATATTATAGAGGGATTATAGGTAACTATCAATTGACCGTTTTTACTTATTAGTTTAGGCCCACTTTCGTATCAGTAATGTTAAGTTCAGTTAATTTTTGTTCGATTTCATTCATCTCAATAGGGTTAATATCTTATTTTGGCCTGAACTATTAAGTGTTATTAAAACCGACTCGGATCGACCGGTCAAAGCGATAAAACCGGCACCCGGTGACCAATTTGGCTCGGAACCCTCCAAAAGCCACTATGGTTGGATAGGGCAGTCAGTGGGCGGCCGAAATGGATAACCGCTTGGGCCGCTCCGATCGTCCGACCGGTTCTCACATAACAGGCCGCCCAATAAAAAAAATTGGGCAGGGCTAGCAAAGCTTTTCATCTCCACCTCAGTCAACCCGATGACCCCATCCTCAAACAAGCTTCCCACAGGCAGTATTCGCGCTTTCTTCCTCTGGGTGCTCGCTGTCGCTGCCTTGTTTCCCTCCAGTTAGATGCAAAATCGAAGGAAGGAAGTGAGATGTGAATGAGGGGGAAACAGGAAGAGAGGCGGCCGCTGAAACTTGGGTGGGTTAGGGTTTATACTCGATTCTATGGAAAAGAGAGGAGAAGGAGAGGGTCGATTGAGAGACATATAGAAGCGAGAATGAGAAAGGCGTGCTTTTTGGTCGATTGAGAGTAAAGGTAGGTCTTTGAGCCTAGAATGTACTAGGCGGTTATGGGGCTCCGATCTGGACTCCCTCGTCCGATCTCCTCAAGAGTGGAAGAATCTGTGAGGCGGGGGGCGGCCCCCGGGATCTACGCTCCGACGCCCAAGTTAGTATGATATAGAAAGAGGTTTATGGTATGTAGAGAGAGAGAGTTTAGAGAGAGACCTTAGGGTAGAAGTGAGGAGGGGAAAGAGAGGATCCTTGGGTTGGAGGCTTTGGCCTCCTTATATAGAGCTTGGGCCTCCTTGAGTGGGCTTGGGCCCCGGACGCCTTGCGGTGGGCTCGGGCCCGTTTATAGTCGTGTAGGCATATTAATCCATATCCCAACAATTTCCCCTTTACTTCTTGTATTCTGTAAGAATGGAAGGAGTAACATAAAGCGTTAATCTTGTATTAATTTGCCTTACTTACGAATCCGGATGATGCGATTTGCCCCTTGTGCGATTTGCGTGATCATTTCATTTGCCCCTTGCTTGGCTTTCGATGTCTTGAACCAAAGCTCTCAAGTCGTTAAGAGTTCCTTCGCTAGTCCATTGTTGTTAGCGCTAGTAGACCATAATTGCGACCTAGGTAGGGTGGCCCCCACGGCTTGAGAGTTTTAACTCAAGACGCTCTTGTTTCGTGTCTCACCATTGTCGCGTCCATGTTGTCAGGAAGTCATGTATCTTGTTAAAGTCTTACTTGTGTGAGGCAAGATCAACTATTCTCTTCTAAGAAGTTTAGTACTTCGCCTTTTGAGAAGCGCATAAGTCTTTCAGCTTTCTGGAAAACTTAGTGCTTCTTCGGCCTCCTGGAGTGCGTTTCTCCTTTGATTCTTGGGAAGTGCATCGCTCCTCGCTCCTCGGCTTCCGGGGAAGCACGTCGCTCCTCTCTTGGGAAGCTCATCGCTCCCTCGGCTTCCTGGGAAGCGCATCGCTCCTCGGCTTCCCGGGAAACGCATCGCTCCTTCGCTTATTGGGAAGCACATTGCTCCCTCGGCTTCCTGGGAAGCGCATTGCTCCTTCGCTTCTTGGGAAGCTCATCGCTCCCTCGGCTTCCTGGGAAGCGCATCGCTCCTCGGCTTCCTGGGAAGCGCATCGTTCCTTTGCTTATTGGGAATTGCATTGCTCCCTCGGCTTCCTGGGAAGCGCGTCGCTCCTCGGTTTCCTCCGGAGCGCATTGCTCCTTCACTTCCTGGGAAGCGCATTGCTCCCTCCGCTTCCTGAGAAGCGCATCGCTCCTCGGCTTCCTGGGAAGCGCATCGCTCCTTCGCTTTCTGGGAAGCGCATCGTTCCTCACCTTCTTGGGAAGCGCATCGCTCCTTCGCTTCCTGGAAAGCGCATTGCTCCCTCGGCTCCCTGGGAAGCACATCGCTCCTTCGCTTCCTTGGAAGCGCATCGCTCCTTGGCTTTCTGGGAAGCGCATCGCTCCTTCGCTTCCTGGGAAGCGTTCCCTAGAGGGAGCATTGCTCGGCGGGAAGGCATTCTAGAGAGGGAACATCGTTCGGAGGCGGGAAGCATTCCTCGGGGACAGCCTCGCCCAGAGGCAATTTTCGAGCCTTGCTCGGAGGTGAAAGGCATAAATCAATCACCGAAGAGTGCATCGCTCAGAGGCGGTTTTTTAGCCTTGCCCAGAGGCGGAAGGCATGAATTAATCCCCCAAGGGTGCATCGCTCGATGGCGGGAAGCATTCTCGAGAAGGAGCATCGCTCGGAGGAGGTAGGCATTCTCCAGAGAGAGCATCGCTCGGAGGCGGTAATCTTCGAGCCTAGCCCGGAGGCAGGAGGCGTGAGTTTTCGAGTATCCGAGAAAGATGCAAGTGGCTAGGGCCCAATATATATTTAAAGTATAAATAGAGCATAGAGAGCGCCCGACATAATAGTAATGAACCGCTTTGCATAAGATATATCTTTGAAAAATTGACTTAGCTTTAGAGACGTTGGAGAGCGGTTAACTATTGGTTGCTGCATTGTTGATCAGCAATGCGTCCTGTAGAATACTGGTTATCGTGTCTCTTGTTGAATGAGAGGTCGGCTGTTCGAAGGTAGGTTTTGGCGTCTTTTTCTTCCTTTTTTAATGTCTTTATTGGGCTGTCTGCCAAGTTGTTGGTGTTGGGGGCGCCGGGCTGTTCTCAATGGGAGGCGGCCCCCTTGGGCTTCAATGACGAGCCTCGGGCCGCGTTGCACAACTAAGGGAGGTGGAGCGGGCTTTGACATCGAGCGGGCTCCACACGGCGGGCAGTTGGAAGTGGGCCTTGGCTGTTCACATGGTGGGCCTTGAATGCGGTTTCTGTCATTGGAGTGCAAAGCGGTAGGCAGGCCTTGTTCTGAGGCGGTCCATTCGACGCGAGATGGAACCGCATTGGGAGACCAAATACGAGGTGGGCCAAGCCTTTGCGGTCCTGATGATGTGGCGGGGCTGCGTTGGACGCGGCTGCAAGGTGAGTATAATAGATGATGCGTCCGGCATTAACAGTGCAACCTTGTAGTGTACTGGTTGAAACACTTGAATGCGAGTCATAGGTCATTGGTTCTATCCTTGCTTGAGGCGGTGCATTGAATCTTTTTTGAAGAGGCTTGGCATGCTTTGTGGACCTTATGGCAGAAGGCGTGGGCCGCCTTGGAAATGGGCCTCGTAGTCCTTGCTCTGCGAAAATGGGCTTCGCAAATTGGATGCGGTTGGGCCTGTTGGCGGTTGGAGAGCTACGCGGCCTCGTAGTCCTTGCTCTGCGAGAATGGGCTTCGCAAATTGGATGCGGTTGGGCCTGTTGGCGGTCGGAGAGCTACGCGGCCTTCGTTGTGCTGGTCTGGGCCAGTGTGAAGTAGGCTTGGTGGAATGCTTGTGGTTGGATATTAGATAGTGTCCCACGCACTTGTTTAACTATCCGAGCGCTTAAGCCGCCTCTTGCTTCTCCAGTTCTCACCGAAAATTGGGCATTTTCCTCCTAGAGGCGTGCTATGCATCCGTTTTTTTTCTTTCTAGTGCGGCTTCTTCTTCTTTTTCGGAGTTGCGCTTAAGCCGCCTCCTGCTTCTCCAGTTCTCTCCGAAAATTGGGCGTTTTCCTCCTAGAGGCGTGCTATGCATCCGCTTTTTTTTTTCTTGTGCGGCTTCTTCTTCTTTTTCGAAAAAATTCCAAAACTTGGCGGTCTACTTCTTCAGCGAGCTTGAGTGCTTTCTCCGATTTGGGCGTTTTCACCTCTTGCCGTGTTTCTTTGATTTGGCGCTTATTATGGCCTGCCTGATGTACTTCATCGTTGGATGATGATATGAAGCTCCGTCTCTATGTATTTGGAGGCGGTCTTCATTTGAGCTTCTCCTCTATCTCGATATTCCCGCGACCTCGGGAACTCCATCTGTCAGCTTTTTTCAACAAAGGGAGAAAATCGATGTCAACAGCTAGCGGCGACGCGACAACCTATGTGCCCTCGGTAGTCATATCTACTGTAGATGAGTAGTAGGCGGAGGCAGTGCTGATGTTTACTGATGTTGACTGCTTGCTTTAGCTCCGGCGCCGGCGGCTGGTACTCAACTCCGGCGGTCGGAATCGGGAGAATTTGCAATAGCTCCCATTTGTATCTTCTAAGTAGCTTCATTTCCTTTGATTCACGGTCGGAATCTTGAGATTTAGCTCCTTTATTTGAGTTTCTTTGAATTTTCTTTGGTATGATTGCTTGTTCCATCGGCCTTGTCGCCGATCCATTTTTCTCCTCTAGTCGAGAGCTCAGGCGGCTCTAGGATTTTGGCAGCGACTGCGGTTGCTTGTAGTTGGTAGAGGAAGTGTTGATTTCCTTCCTCTTTTCTTTTCTCAATGCTTCGATGATGTTTGGTTTACTCCCTTGCTGGCGGTTCTTGGAAGGATTTGGCAGATGCTGTCGTCCCTTGTAATTGGGTGGAGTGACCCATTTCTTTTATGGTCGAAGTTTCCATGGATTTAAGATCCGCCATTTCTTTCTCCAGTTGGTGTGCGCCTTCTCTTCTCTTGGTTTCCTTGGAGTAAAGCTTCTGTAACTTTGGAATTTGAGATCTTCTATGTTTTCTTTGTCATTTACTTTTTTGCTCGGCGGGTCTTGAAGGGATTAACATATCTGCTTTCGCTTGTTGTTGGTAGCCGGTTGCTTCCCTCCGTTAGAAACCAAACGATAGATCCAAATCATTGCCCCACGGTGGGCGCCAATTGTTTGAGCCTAGAATGTACTAGGCGGTTATGGGGCTCTGATCTGGACTCCCTCGTCCGATCTCCTCGGGAGTGGAAGAATCTGTGAGGCGGGGGGCGGCCCCCGGGATCTACGCTCCGACGGCCAAGTTAGTACGATATAGAAAGAGGTTTATGGTATGTAGAGAGAGAGAGTTTAGAGAGAGACCTTAGGGTAGAAGTGAGGAGGGGAAAGAGAGGATCCTTGGGTTGGAGGCTTTGGCCTCCTTATATAGAGCTTGGGCCTCCTTGAGTGGGCTTGGGCCCCGGACGCCTTGTGGTGGGTTTGGGCCCGTTTATAGTCGTGTAGACATATTAATCCATATCCCAACAGTAGGTTTCATCCTTGGTCTTTATTTGGATGAAAAATGGCGAAGGAGAGATGGGAAGGGGAAAGAATGGTGAGCGGCTGCCGGCTAGGGTTTCTTGGCCTCATCTCTTTCATTATATACTAAGGCAAATTACGGAATGATACATTTATAGCAAATTTCATTTTAGTCATTAAATTGTCTAGTAAGTGATTAATATAATACATATATTATGTTTTTTTTACTACTTTATGTGTTTCTATTATGATATTATTATTAATAAGCTACTGGTTCTCTAACGATTTTAAACGGTTTAATATCGGTTGGACCATTAAAGTGCGGGCCAGGCTCCGGTTCTATTCTGACAACATTGATTATTACCATATAATCAACTTTGGCATGTGGTTTCACAAATTAACATCCTCGCATCAACTATGCAACATATAGACTCAATTGGCGCGACAAATGGTTTGACCGTCAATTTGGACGGTCAACACACTATGTTATTGCCTCGTCATCCCAAAAATCATTAAAAAATTCAAATTATTTTTTTTTTCTAATTTATATTATTTATCATTATCAAATTAACCAAAAAATAAAATTATAAAAAATATATAAGAACTTTTTTTTTTATTCTTTGGGTAATTTGAAAATGATAAATTTTATAAATTAACCAAAAATTATCAAATTATTTGAGTTTTAAATTTTATTTTTTGGTTAATTTGAAAATGATAAATAATAGAAATTAGGAAAATAATTTGACTTTGAATTTTTTAAATGATTTTTAGGCTGACGAGGCAATGACATGACGTGTTGACTAACGATCAACACCGTTGACCGTCCAAATTGACGGTCAAACCATGTGTCGGGCCAATTGAGTCTGTATGCTGTATAGTTGAGGCCAGAATGTTAATTTCTAAAACCACGGGCCAAAATTGATTATATGATCATAGTTCGAGCCAAAGTAAGGTATTAACCTATTTCAATAATACATTTCAAAATGCTTGAGAGCTGAGAAGGGAGTGTTAATCTATCTAATCTAACAATAACTATATAGACTCTCCCCTTGAGCACCCAATCGATCTCCCTTTTCCTGGCTCCTGCCCAAGCAACGGATGGAGCTTTTGGTCTTTTCCTTTAACTAAAACAAATGGGCCTCAGGCCCTCTACCTATTTTAGGCGGCCAAAACAGGTGCAAATCAGGAGTGTAATTATTTTGATTACTTATTAATATTATAGTTTCTAGGCGTGTGGCTAGATTACGCAAGGGGTGAAATATATATATATATATAGTTCAGGTTAGCGTACTGTACATTGTACGCCCGTTGAGTTTTACTATTTAGAGTACGAATTAATCGGAGTTTGGGGTATGATACTATACTCTATCCTCTAACGGGTGAACCAGAGTCCCTAACTCTCTAACCCAAGCCACAAGATTCATTTAATCTAAAAAAAATAATTGACAGTTCTTACTCAACGAAATATATTGAAGTGCAAAACCAAGTGTGAACACAGGTGTACAACGTACGCTACCCTTTGCCATATATAATAGGGCTGGCAATTAGTTCCGTTCGGTTATTATCGGAACCGTTTAGTTAGTTTTTGGTTAACTGTTAACTACTTTGTACTTATCATTAATTGCATAATTTATATTAGTTGGTTAACCGTATTCGTATTGTCGATTCTCGATTAATTTTTTGATTATCCGGATTACCGTTAAGCAAGTGGTTCAGTAAGTTTAAAAAATAATTGTATAAAAAACAATTATACAATTAGTACTTTTTTGATTAACCGGATTACCGTATTCGTATGTGTTCTTTTTTTAAGTTGTTATCATTGTATAAAAAATAATTTAACATAGATATCAATCCATAATTAACTCAATCCAACACAAGTAACACTAACACCATTCTACCGTCAAATTGGATTAAAGAAGTAGACAAAAATAAGAGACCCATCAACAATTACTCAACCCATGAACCCTGGTCAATTTACATGGAAGGTTAAATGTTATCAATTGTTGTCGAGCTATGTGGCAAGTCCAAAACATCCCATTCTTTGGCCTATGCATGTGGTTCATCGAAGCCTATTATTTTTTCCTCACTATGAGGATGGTAATAATCAGTTAGTGAGTTAACTTTCGGTTATAACTGTTTAACCATTGGTAATTAATTAGCTAAATTTGGCTACTAAGTCGACCATTTACTGTTTAATGAGTTATTCATTTAACCGTTAACCAAATATGCATATGATTTTTATATTATTATACTAGCATAAGAATATGAATAGGATGGTTACTTAACTATCCAAGATTATGGGTTGGTTAATCAAAGGTGCATATTATTCATGTATTATTATTTGTGTTTATTCTTTGTAGTTTGATGTTTCCAAGATCATGCGGTGAGTCATCCAAACAATCAAATAGTATTTCATTTCAATCATAAAAAATTAAATGTAAGTACATGTGTTTTTATTTCATAATGCTAGACAACTTACCATAATATATCTGTCAACACGTGTTATTTAGGGAAATACATACGAACCCAAAAAAATAGATTGTTAACGTCTATCAAACTTGCTGATAGTCTTTGCAACAATCTCCAGGTGATGTGCTTTGTGTACCTCACCCCTCGAAGGCAGCAATCTAGAGGATTTGAATATGCTGTTGTAAGCAAATAATTTGACCAGGCGTCATTCTTTTTAAACATATCTGAGACTTTGATGATGTCTCCTGATAGTTTGTTTTTTCTCCAGAGATATTTCCCATTTTTTCATTTGTTGTTGGTATTATCATTGTAACGAAGTATTTAATATATTCTCATACGGTATCAAGCTGCTATACGATTAACTATATTCTCATGGGTTAGAATTAGTGCATCCACATCAATCTACCACATTGAATTGCAAACTAGCGACGTGGCAATATAAATGCAATTGCACTTTTAATTGCATTGATGGAAGTGTCAATAGCAATAATGCAAGCTACCATTTTATACAATTCCATTTGCAATTCCGAGGTAGACATCCATAACTTTTTATTGGATTTTTCTTCCTTTTTTTACTTTATTAAAAAAAAAATTGGACTCACATATGCAATTGCAAGTTATGCAAATGAAAGTAACGTAAGTTTGAT